GCAAAGCCCCTTCCAGCACCAGGGCGATGAATGTTGGATAAGCCGGCCGTGCTGTGGCAGCGCAGCCCCATAGCGCGGGCGCTGGAGCAGGGGCGCCCGCGGCTCCGTCCTGGCTCCGGCACCAGCACATGGAGGCGCATGGGGATGAGCCCGGGGCCGCTCGGCACCCAGGCGCAGCAGGAGCGATGGTCTGGCGTGTGCCGTGTGCCGTGCTAAAATGTGCAGTCTGTAACCCCCTGTGGGCACGTTTCGCTCCTCATTGGTAAAATAAGTATTAATATGTGTATATATATATATATATATATTTTTTTTTTTCCCTAGGTAAGGCATAGAGGCCCAGCTGCACAAAATTTAGGAACTTGGTGGATGAAACAAATACTTCACTAGGAATCATTTTTCTTTTTAATCTTACGAAGGGTAGAAACGCCTAACTCCATTTACAGCCTCCCAAAAAACCTAGACCTGTAATTTTTTAGTATTTAGGAAGAGAACACGTATGCTTGGGGAAGCCTGGGTTCACACTCGGGGTCGGGCTGTTTATTGTCATCATCATCATTGTACTTTTTATTATTATTCGTGAAACACGAACAGGGACGGCGCAGAGGGGGGACTGAGCGGACGGCGGGCCCGGTTTCCGTGCGGGGCCGGAGGCGGCGCCATCGCCGCCCCCCGCGCCCGGGCCCGACGGCCTCCAGGCCGCCCGCCCCGCCCGCAGGTGCGGCCCGCCTGCCCGCCGCTTGCTGCCGGCTGCCATTGGCTAGCGGCACCTCGGTTGATCCCGCCCTCGGGTGACATTAGGCGACGATCTGAGCAGTTAGCCAATAGGAAGGAAGTTCTCGCACTCTCGCTGCCGGACAGTGACCTGCGCGCGGCGACCCCAGCCAATAAGAGGCTTGGGAGGCGGAGCCGACGGCTCCTGACTGACATGCCAGCGAGGCCAATGGGAAGCCAAACCTAGCGGGGCGTGGGCCAATAGCGGGGCACGCCGGTGAGTGCCGGAGCGGGTGGGCGGGCAGGGGGCGAGGCCAAGCGGGCGAGCTCCTCCAATCACGCGAGGCCTTTGCTGAAGGGCGTGCGCGAGAGCCAATGCTGGCGAGGGGGCGGGCGCGCCGCGCTCCCGCCGCCCCC